TTGTAACTCTGTATTGTCTGTACTGTTCTTTTGCTATTTTGTATAAGGTTGTCTGTCTGTTAATGTTTTCCTCCTTTTATTTTTAAAATTTTAAAACAAAATTATATTTAAACGATCAAGATTTTCTAAAAGTCCTCCCACTGGGAAAAACATGAAGCAGTGACTCCCTTTATGTTTAAAAACACGCGAGTCCAGGGCTGGGGATTTAGTTCAGTGGCACAGCACCTGCCTGGCAAGCGTAAGGTCGTGAGTTCAATTCCTGGTACCAGAAGAAAAAAAAAAAAAAAAACCATAAAAACACGCGAGTCCAATTGGGCCGGAACTCACCAGGCAGCCAGGGCCCTGCGTCCTTGCTTCTCAGCGCGCCCAGCCACGCCTGCGGCTCGCGCTGTTCACACTGCCAGCTCTGTCCCTCCGGATGGGCGCGACTAAGGAAACGACCGCAGGGAAACGCAGGTGGCTCGGGAAGGCGGTGGGGAGTCAGTGTCCGGCATCAGACCCCAAGACGCCCCTCCACGGACCCCACTGCCGCGTGTGACCGTGGTCCAGGTCCCCGCGTGGCCAGATGCTCGGGCTCTGCAGGGGCCACTGCGCCATTTACCACGCCCTGGCCTTGGAAGAGGCGGTGCCCGGATGTTCCAGGGCAGACCGGCGGTGCTCCGTAGAGAAGGCCGTGTGAAGGGTCAGGGGTCAGGGGTCACGGCCTCGGACTGGTTCCCGGGCAGCCATTGGTAAGAAGTGGCTACCGAGAAGCCGTCCCTCTTAGAGGGAAGTTGTGGGGTTTCCAAGCCCAGCCACCCAGCAGTTGTCCCCGCGTCAGCCCCAAGGCCACCCCCTCAGGCTGGCCGACTCCCTGGGAAGGGTCACGGACTCGGAGACGCTCTGGTGCGCTTTACTGCGTGCCCGGGGCCTGGCCTGCTTGTCGGAGGCTGGCGAAGGTGCCCAGGCAGCTTCTCCGGGGAGGCGCGGACGGCGCGATCACTCCACAGCAGCGCGGCAGCTCCCCGGCCTCCCCCCGACCCACCCTGGTGCGGCAGGCAGCTCAGGGCCATCTCGGGGCGGAGGCCAGGCGTGCAGGGAGCGGGGCCTGCGCGCCGGAGCTCGGTGAACCCCCTGACGCGGGGGGCAGCTTCCTGACGCCAGCGGGCTGGGCACCCCAGAGGCTCAAGCCCCCAGCCTCACTTTGAGGTTACCGATCACATGGAGGTCTTCGGAAGGAAGCACAAGAAGGCCCATATCGGAACATTCAGTAGTTGATTGCATGCCTTTGTCATTCGTTGCTAAGCAGAATTTACCCTTGCAGGAACTAGTAAGGGTACTACCGCGGAACACGGAAGAATCGGTCGTCGTCTGAGACTGGGCAGAGGTGTCCTCCGGGCGATAACTCTCCGGGACTAGAAAGTCAGCCACACACCGCTGGCTAAGCGGCACCTGTCTCGCAGCTGGCTCCGGGAGTGTACGTTCTGTAATCTCTAATTACGAGAACCTGCTGTGTTTCCCAGGCTCATTGCTGAACAGTGTTAGAAATATAGGTTCAGGGACTGGGGATTTAGCTCAGCGGCAAAAGCGCCTGCCTGGCAAGCGCAAGGTCGTGAGTTCGGTTCCCGGTACCGGAGAAAAAAAAACAAAAACAAAAAAAATATATATATATAGGTTCACATTCTTCGTTACGTTTAAAACAGCCTCTGCACCCCGACTGCTGGCTCCCAAAGCCTGGCTTTAACGTTGTGGCTCCAACTTCCTTGCTAGGTGTCCACGCTGCTGGTTTGTGGGAGCAAAAGAAAAGAGACCACTTAGTACCATGCACCCGAGCCTGGGGCTGTGCCCCTGACGTCCTGCAGAGGTGCGGATTTGAGCTGCAGCCCTCTGCTGCTAGATGGGGTTGGCCGGGTGGTGGCCGTCCACACCTCTCCCTGGAGCCCCTAGGCAGCCATCGCAATGGGAGGCCTGTCCCTCATGCAGAGCCACCAGACAGCCCAGAATTCACCAAGCTGGCAGGCTGTCTGGCCGGGTGCAGCTCCTTCCAGCTGAGCTTAAACCCTGATGAGGCTAAGTTCCTCCAAATATTTGTGGCCCATCCGCACATCGGAGCTTTATTCAGTCTCAAAGGGAAAGAAATTCTGACACCCACTACAGCACGAATGAGCCTTGAGAACACTATGCTGAGTGACATAAGTAAATGCCTTAAAGACGCATTTCTGGAGGGTACAGGGTGATGATGTTTGCATGGTGAGGTCAGTGGAGTTGTTGTCATACAACTGTAGGAGGGGAAATGGGTAAAATGATTTGGGTGTGGTGGTGTAATCCCAGCACTCTTCAAGGATAAGGCAATAAGATCTCAAGTTTGGGCCCGGACTCTGGGCAACTTAGTAACTTAGCAAAAAAGGCTGAGGATGTAGCTCAATGTGAAGGCCCCAGGTTCAATCCCTAGTACCGAAAGACAAAACAAAACAAAACCACAAAAAGGATAAATGGTAAATTTTATGTTTAATGTATTCTACCGAATTTTCAAAAAGATTAATAGCTATTTAGAGCTGTCTCAAAATTAGAGCTCTCTTATGTTTTCAAGTTGGCAGAGTTAAAAGTATCATCTGTCTCAGAGAGCACCCCCAACAACCTGTGAAGGTTTGTCCCTTTTACCTGGTGTTTTCTTAGCTCCCACCTAATCAAGGCCTAGTCCGGGGGTGGGGGCTCCCTCATTGCAGATGAGGCTGGGGGGCTAACAGGCTCCACAGGCCCTGTGCCCTGCCCCTAGCACGAAGGGCCACCCCCACACCGAGAGGCATATGTGGGAGAGAAGGGAGGAGGAAGGCCAAGAAGGCTTCCAGAAGGGAAGTAACTCCACAAAGACCCTGAAGACGGAGTGGAGATGGAAGAAAAGCAGCAGTGAGTTTAGAAGACCCAATTTCTGACTAACAGGAATGAAAGAGAACAGTAAAATCTGGAAGGGAGAGGAGAGCCCCAGCTCAGTGGAAAGGTTCTCACAACTGGAGGACAGGACTCTACCAAGGAAAGAAGGAAAATAAAATTCCCACTAAGGCACTATGCCGGGAGTAAAAAGAAAAGATATTAAAGAGGCTTTTTCTACAAAGGAAAAACATCACAGCACTGCACTTCCCAAAAGAAGCTCTGGAAGCTGGAAGCCGAAGGCAATGCCTCAAATCCTGGAGGGCAAATGTTTTCCAACTCAGCCACACTCTCCAGTGCGGTGTATGGGTGGAATGCAACGTTCTCAGGAAAGCTGGTCTCAAAAAGTGAAACTTCCCATGCACCTTCTTTGGAGAGCTCCTACAGTATGTCCTCCATCAGAGCAAAGATAGATAGCAAAATGACAACTCAGTGAAAATAAGCCAGGCGTGGTGGTGCACACCTGTAATCCTGTATTCAGGAGCTTGAGACAGGAGGATCCTTGTGAGTTTGAGGCCAGCCTGGGCTACGAAGTGAGCTCAAGGCCAGCCTGAACTGCATAGCGAGACTCTGTCTCAAAAAGACAAAAAGAAGAAAACAAGAAAAGGCAATTATTTTTAAATGGAGGAAAAAAATACAGAAGAAAGGAATACAGGAACTGGGAATTTAGCTCAGTGGCACAGAGCCTACCTGGCAAGTGTGAAGTCCTGAGTTTGAGTCCCAGTACCCTCCCCCAAAAAATAAAGGAACAAAGTATTTGACTTAGTGAAAAAATATACAGTCATAATAATAATGTAAACATCTCATGTGGTTTTAATTGTGTGAGAAATCAGCAGAAATAGGAAGACTAGCTATGATAAAAGAGCACCAAGTCGTTCCCTACTAAATGGTAAAATGATCAATGGCCATAGTCTGTCAACAAAGAACAGCAATATAAGCATATTAAGAACTATGGGAGCAGGGGCTGGGGATTTAGCTCAGCGGCAAAAGCGCCTGCCTGGCAAGCGCAAGGTCGTGAGTTCTGTTCCCCGTACTGGAGAAAAACCACACACACAAAAAAAAGAACTATGGAAGCAAATTCAAGAAACTGCTAAGAAATAGATTGTTATGGTTTGTGTCTGCATGTCCCCCCAGATCCTCATGCAGTCAAGGGGTGGGCTTCTAGGATTTGTGATTGATCCATGATCCTATGCTGGGATTATGGATGTCAGTGCTACACCCACCCCGGGGTTTACATATGTAAGGGAGAGGAAGAGGTTGGTTGCTTGCGGCCATTCCTTCCCTTAGCTTTTGTTGCCTTTGCTGTATTCTGCTGCCATGAATGCTTGCCCTCTGCCGTGTGCCACTCTGCCTTGGAACCAGCCCAGTATGGACCGAAACCTCCACACACTGTAAGCTAAATAAACCTTTCCTTCCTTAATTTTTGGCATCAGGTATTTTATCCCAGCAACAAGAGAAAAGTAACGGAGACATAGATCTTGCTTTCCTGCTGGGGATCGAGGCTGTGGGTGGAAAAGCAAAAGGTCAGAGACACCTGTTTTTATTACCTCCACAACACAGCACTAATGTTTTAAGTATTATTTCACTAATTAAATGCATTCATTGTTTACTTAAAGTAAAAGTTAACTAGTTTAAAAATTCAGATGAATGAGATTATAAAACCTATACGTGCTTTGACCATGTTCCCAGTAGTTAGAGAGGGACAGAAGGGCAAACTGCGACACAAGAAAGGGCCAAGAGGAAGAAGGGCAGGGTGAGGACCAGAAGGGGAGACATACTGGGAAGCGAGAGTGGGGAAAACAGGTGGCTCTTTGAGGGTGCAGAAATAGACTCGGGGCTGAGGCTGCGGCTGAGGTCAGGCAGGAGGTGCTATGGAAGCTGTGCAGGTCACAGAGATCCTTTATCTTTTGCAGAGCACTCTATTGACTTCCTATTGTTTGGAATTTCAGCGAGTCCATCCACTGGGACAGCTCCAGCCTCACATCCGCACACCCCAGAGCCTGGACACTCTTTCCTGGGCACACTGTCTGTCTCTATCACGCACGCTTGATCTCACAGAAGGACCCCCACCTCCTAGGTCTGTGACAGTGGACGGCCAGAGGGGACCTCCCAAGGCTGTGCCTCCCTGGCTCTTTCCCCATTTCTCAGGCTGCAGGGAGCCCCATGGCCGACACCCTCACAAGGACAAACAGGACACGCCTGCTGTCCAGACCTCAGTGTTGGGGCATGGTAGGAAGAGCATACTTAGAGTCCAGCCCTGCTACTCACTGGGCAGTGACTCGGACAAGCAGCCTGACCTCAGAGCCTCTCATTCTATCAAAAGAGGGGGTGATATCCCACAGTTGCCTTTGTGAGGAGCCAGTTGGGGGTATAAATGCACAAGACTTTGGGGTCCTGCTGCTCTGTCTGCTTGCACCAGGAGGCATCTGCCATAAAAATTCAGCCAACCAGTGGTATTAGTTTCTCATGGCTGCTACACCAAATTCCCACAAAATTACAGGCTGAGAATAATACCAATGGACTGTCTTACAGTTCCAAAGTCTAGAAGTCCAAAATCCATTTCCCTGCCCTGAAACCAGGCCTTGAACTCTGGCTCCACGGGAGAGTCAGCCTGGCTTTCCCAGCTCCCTCCCAGAAGCTGCCCTCAATCCCAAACACAAAGTCTATTGCTCTACCTCCACAGCACAGCACTCCAGACCCCACTGCACCCTGCCACGGATCCTCTTGAG